TTTTTTAAAAAAAAATACAAGTACAAGAATAAAATTTATGGCTGTTAAGATACGACTTTTTTTTTTTTTTAAATGCAACAATAAGTTACAACTTCTACTTTCAAAGATGTGGCTTTCATTTTTGTGTTTGCAGCTATTCCAAGTTCTTAATGCTTTAACAAGTCGTCAAGGTAAAATGATTTTATGATTCTAATTCGGTCCGCTTTATTCATCTAGACCAGCTGTTATGTATGACCCGAACGATTTGAGAGTTGTTTGGTACGTGTAAGCACAACTCATTCTGATACAGTGTTTTTCTCTTATAAATAATTTGAATAAAAAAATATTCCTACCAATCGATTTCTCATAAAGAATTTAAATCAAAAGGAATATGAGATAAATACCCTTTAAAAATACATTAACCATAATTTTTACCTCTTACTCTTGATTAATAACATTTTTAGTTAAATAATTATACTAATAAAAGGGTATTAATAAAAAATGATGAGTAAAAATTTAAATTCATACATTTTTAAAAAATAAATTCTATAATTTTCTTAAACAAAAATAATAATTATATTTTAAATACACTTTTTAAACAGGTCTGAAACCTTTTCTATAAGCATAACAACAAACTCAAAGAGTAAAGGGAGAAAGAGGAAAATATGTCAAGACTTGAGATGAATTAAAATTTTTAGGTCAATAGTTTACATAAGTTAATAAATTGGTCAAATTACTGTTTTTGTTCATAACTTGTCTGGTTATGAACCATAACTTGACAAGTTATTGTCCATTATTCACGATTTTTATTCATAATTTGTCTGACTATGAACCATAACTTGACAAGTTTGTCCATAACTTATCTGGTTATAAACCATAACTTGACAAGTTATGACCTATTAATTTCTATATCTAACGTGATATATCATATCAATCTTATAATTATATAATTGAAGTCAATTACACTAACTCTGACTGATACGAAATTTTCTAAGTTTTAATTAATAAAGTTCACAATGGTCTTATTAAGAAAAAACTTGTGAAGCAATAATACCTCACATACCCTTGCTTGTCCTTTTATTTCAATATATACATATTTGATTTTTCTGTTCCTCGGGAGCAGTCACATTCACATGTTTGTTTTAATTAATATTTCATCTCCAGCCCCCCAAAAAAGAAACAAATTATAATTAATTATAAGTTGGATTGTCGTTTTTAGAACAGATCTACAAAACAACACTTCATCTATTATCTCACAGCTGTTCGGAGATAACCTGCCGTACTGTCACTCTTTTTTTGTTTTGTTTCTATCTGTTAATTAAAATAAAAAGACTTTTTTGATACATTAATATATTAGTCAGTATAAAATCACGTAAAAATTAAAAATGTAGATTTAACAGTTAAAAATATGACTGTTCATGGGTTATGTTGGTGAGGGGTTGGACTTTTTTTTCATCCGCCCTAAAAGGTGTGGGTTGCACATATTTAGTCCCAATGATGTTAAAAAAATTTCACAACCCAATGATGTTTAGGTTGGGTTGGGGCGGTGCGAGGTGAGATGGGTGGTCGGTTTCAATATTCAAAAAATTAAATACTCAAAGTACAATTTAACATAAAGTTCATCATCAAATATAAATAAAAACTCCAACATTCAAACAGATAGAAATTCAAAGTTCAATCTAACATCAAACATGTAGCAAAGTAGTCCATCCAATATCAAACATAAAGCAAACATAAATTACTCTACACTCATAAATTAGTCTTAACATAAAGCAAACATAGAGACTTAATTTAAACATGAAGAAACTAAAGAGTATAAATGTGTTACCTGCCTAGAGTTAGATATTAGAGAATGCAAGTTAGATCGTGGGTTGGGTTGGGGTG